CGTGCACGAGGGTGCGAGTTCAACCTCGGCAAAGCCAAATGTGATTTTTCCGAGTTATATGTACTTTCTATGATTATTTAGACACCACTGACATACGGTGAAGGAAAACATCGTGAGGAAACTTCTACCTATCAGTCAGGATAAAACAAAGTCGCTTTCTCTGTCCCTATATCCACATGTACGCTTAAATCTTTAAAACTACGCAACGGATATTGTTGCGGTTTTTTAATACTTACATGACTGAAGCGGAAGGTTTATATGTATATATATAATAACATTCATTAAATAGTGAAGAAATTGAGTATCAGCGTTGCACTCATTCGAAGCCGGAGCGAGTCGCTAGTAATTTCTAATTAAAAGTTTGAAATCGCCAATCCGTCTTGAGCAAGCGTGGTGATTAATGATCAAACCCCATTTAGGTGTGGGGAAGCCATGCTTCGACACGAATGGGTCGGCTCTACCGGAGTGATACCACGGCCTCACTCTGTGTTTCGCCGTGTGAGTGAGGTTAAAGGAGGCCCAATCCTTCCCCTACCCTAATCCGTTCCCTTTCCCAAAATCTCCAAATCACTAATCCCTAAAAAGTCGACAACGCACTCGTAACTCCTCCGTCGTTGCGAGTGTCCATGGGCGACGCTGATTGCTTACCATCAGGTAATCCGTTTGCTCGTTTGCCGATCTATCACGAAAAAAACCTTCTCTGTGTGAGAAGATCTTGATGATGATAATGATGACTTTTAAAACAATATATAGGACTTTGTACCATCCAGTAATCAGTAAGGGGTTACAATAGCCACTAATTACTGACTGTTGTTAATTAGAAAACAAACATAATTGCTTATATATAGATACTTAGCTAATTACCTCTCTTTGTTGATAAATGTATTTGTTTTGCATACATAAACAATATCATTAACGGTAGACTACATCGTCTCGGGTTTGGTTCCCAAGTTGGTCAAAGGTCTAAGCAATGACGACGGAATTAAGAAATGTGTCCGATATAGGTACTCCTTTTACATTGGAAATGTAACATGGGTTCGGCTCGACCGGTGTGATACCACGGCCTTCATAAAAACTGGCGTGAAACAATCACAGCGTTGTGTTGCTCCGTGTGAGTGTGGTTACCGTATATCCAATCCTTCTCTACCCTCAACCTTCCCAGATCCGTAAATCCCCAAAATCCCATATCCTCAAAAGCCCGTATCATAAGCAGGCAACACTCTTGCGATTCCTCTAGTGCTGCGGGTGGGCGGCGCTAATTGCTTACCATTAAATATAATCCGTCTGCTAGTTCGTCACCACTCCTATTGCTAAAAAATATTAGGAAACTAGCTTCCGCCCACGGATTCGCCCGCTTGGTATGTTGATGTTGATAAAAAGTACCCTATGTCCTATTCCAGAGTGTATCTTATGCCTATGCCAAATTTCATCCAGATTCGTCCAGCCGTTTTGGCGTGATTGAGTAACAAACATCCAACCATCGTAACTTTCGCATTTATAATATTAGTATGATAAAGGTCTTATATTTAACTAGCGACCTGCTCCGGCTTCGTTCGGAATTCGTACTTAATACTGATACTAAATTCTCCATTATTTAATATATGTCATGTAAACCTTTCTTTTCAATCAAAAAACTCTATCTATTAAAAAACTGAATCAAAATCATGACCGTCCCTCTATCCCTCCGTCCCTATATCCCTATGTAGGTATCCTATAAGGTACAAAGTCGCTGTCTCTGTAGACAGCGACTTTGTTTTATACTATGTAGTGATGCATTGGGCAAAGGCCATTCTTTATTGCTGCATCAATAAAACATGATAATACATATGTTCGACAATGCAACATTAAAATGAATTTAGTAATTGTATACTTTAAACTACAGTCCATGTGGGTTCAAACGCAAGGATACCAGCCCAGTCAGGACCAGGAGAAAGAACAGGGTGGTTTTTAGTCAATTAAGATTCTGACACTTCTTTCACCCCAGTCAGGGTGAAATATTCCATGATTCCTTTCGAACCACACCTTGGAACAAGCACCTAACTTTACTGAGCTTCTGACTGGCTCACTACAATTCTATTTTGACGTTTGAAAAGTACATATTCGTGTTTTTTTTATCATCAGCCTATACGTGCGCACTGCTGAGCAAAGGCCTCTTCTCATACGGAGAAGTTTAGAGCATTAATCACACGCTTGCTCAATGCGGATTGCCGATTTCAAACTTATAATTAGAAATTATAAGTTCAGGTTTCCTCACGATGTTTCCCTTCACCGTATGTCAGTGGTGTCTAAATAATCATAGAAAGCACATAAAACTCTGAAAAAGTTACATCGGTACCTACTTGCCAGGTTTCGATCCCACACCCTTATGCATGAGAAGCGGGCTCCTTAACCTCCGGGCCACCACGACATTTTATTATATTCGTGGTTTAGTTGGAATAAATGATTTTGATTTTGACTGTGACTTTGATAAGATATTTCGACCTGATAACTAATATCAAACAAACACAGTTCATTGTCACATTAGAGGTGGAATTGGGTGGTTGTCTAGATCAAATAGGTACCTATAATTAAATCGACGTTTCAATACAATACAATATATTGAAAAAGAACTAAACTTTTATTCATCGATCGATCGATATAATTTTTTTTAGATATTTTTAAGGAAATTTTGAAGAAATAAGTAAGCTATTTGACGGAAAAATACTATGCGTACTGTCATAACTCAGTGTTTCATACAAATTTCATAGAAAAGTACCTATAGTTTTTGACATTTGGATAAAATAATTAAATTTGGCTAGTTGGAAACTAACGTATTCGAAAATTATGTATCTCCGTCGGATACATAAGAAAACAAATATTTTTAAAACATAATTAAGGAACGAAAGTGATAATGATCAATAGCTTAAATGCCGTGTTAATTACCTACGTTACCAACTAATTTCATTAAATCGCCTGATATTTATTTATTTTTTTATTGATTGCCGATTTCAAACTTATAATTAGAAATTATAAGTCCAGGTTTCCTCACGATGTTTCCCTTCACCGTATGTCAGTGGTGTCTAAATAATCATAGAAAGCACATAAAACTCTGAAAAAGTTACATCGGTACCTACTTGCCAGGTTTCGATCCCACACCCTTATGCATGAGAAGCGGGCTCCTTAACCTCCGGGCCACCACGACATTTTATTATATTCGTGGTTTAGTTGGAATAAATGATTTTGATTTTGACTGTGACTTTGATAAGATATTTCGACCTGATAACTAATATCAAACAAACACAGTTCATTGTCACATTAGAGGTGGAATTGGGTGGTTGTCTAGATCAAATAGGTACCTATAATTAAATCGACGTTTCAATACAATACAATATATTGAAAAAGAACTAAACTTTTATTCATCGATCGATCGATATAATTTTTTTTAGATATTTTTAAGGAAATTTTGAAGAAATAAGTAAGCTATTTGACGGAAAAATACTATGCGTACTGTCATAACTCAGTGTTTCATACAAATTTCATAGAAAAGTACCTATAGTTTTTGACATTTGGATAAAATAATTAAATTTGGCTAGTTGGAAACTAACGTATTCGAAAATTATGTATCTCCGTCGGATACATAAGAAAACAAATATTTTTAAAACATAATTAAGGAACGAAAGTGATAATGATCAATAGCTTAAATGCCGTGTTAATTACCTACGTTACCAACTAATTTCATTAAATCGCCTGATATTTATTTATTTTTTTATTTGTGTGCAAAAGTTGTTTGTTTATATTTCTACACAAGGTAATTATACAAATGAGGGTATATATGTAAGTACTGTATATTTCTAAAAGAATTACTTCTTGTAGATTTTTGATACGATTGTAATAAGTAGTTTCAATAGTGGTTATTAAGTACCTATCATATTTTTTGTATTACCCTTTCAAGATTCATTTACTTAATTACGAATTTTTTCAACTAATAATGTTTTATTTTTGGCTTAGAAATATGTTTTGTATTTTTCTTTACTTTTTCAGCCGTGTAGGGCCTTTTGCGAAAAGTCCGACTAGAAATAAAACATAGTTAGGTACTGTCGTATTTCATTTGTTAATTTTTGGAGCTTAAATGCACGTATATATACATCTACATATCTATATATACATAATATTAAAAAACACAAACGTTACCGATTCTTTGTTTAAAAAAATATCTGATTGGCCAACTGTATTGTGTTATCGCTTCGTAGCGGCGCGTAGCCGTAGCCGAAGCGTAGCGGCGCCTACTTACAAGGATATTAGTTAATTTATTAAATTATTGTTAATACCTATCTTAGTTATTCGTCTGCTAATTAAAGTAATTATTAATAATAATTATGCGTATAAAAGAAAATGAGAATACCGATTCCTGCAGAGCCATTTCGGATCTCCATTCAGTTATATGATTGTATTAAAGAACTAGGTACTTGTTTTCTAAGATAGTAGCCTACAGACAGCTCAGGCAACAACACACAGATAATTTAATCGGGAGTGAAACCACAATAAAGGACGACATACGCGGACTGAAACATCAGCAAACAACTCGCGAGCATTACTTATCTCTGAAAAACATTTTCTAAGAAAACGTATATCAGCGCACTGTGAGTGAATACTTGTAGAGCCTTGTAGGGCGTGCGGCGTGTCTCAACGGTCGTCACGAGCACACATTCCTGCCGAAACACTTATGATAATTCCATGGTTTTATCGTTTGGAGCTGCGGTATTATTAGCGGCGGGTCGCGCACGGCGGCCGCGCACCGAGCCAGCGGGCGAGGGGCAGGGGAGCGAAGCGCGGGGGCCAAGCCGGGCCCCGCGGGGCGAGGGGCGCGCGGGCAGCTGGGCGGGTCCAGCAGGCTCCGCCCCGCCGCGCGCCAATCCGCGGCGCAGTGGAGGGGAGCGCGGGCCCCCGGCCTCTATTTACTCTTTCAATCAGTGCGAGTGTTTGCCCCTGGCCGGCGTGCACGCGCGGGTGATGCGCTAGCCATGATCTCGCAGAAGCTGTCGTACGGCGACGTGCCGACGTCCGCGTCGCTGTCCTCGCTGTCACCGGGCCTCGCGCCCCCATACGTGAACGGTATGGGCTGCATGCCTGCGCAGCCTTACCCCAACCTGTACTCCAACAACATGGTAGCCGGCAGCTCGTGCATGGGCTCCCCGGGCGTGGGCTACAGCCCGCCCAGCACCATGGCCTCCTGCATGGGCGGCGGCGGAGCTGTGCCCTACGGCTCGCTGCCACGCGAGCAAGAAGCCGCCTCGCCCACCTCAGCGCTGCAGCGAGCTCGCAACGACAAGACCTACCGCCGCTCGTACACACACGCCAAGCCGCCCTACTCCTACATCTCGCTCATCACGATGGCCATCCAGAACAACCCATCGCGCATGCTCACGCTCTCGGAGATCTACCAGTTCATCATGGACCTGTTCCCGTTCTACAGACAGAACCAGCAGCGCTGGCAGAACTCCATACGGCATTCGCTGTCGTTCAACGATTGCTTCGTGAAAGTGCCGCGGACGCCAGACAAGCCTGGCAAGGGATCGTTCTGGACGCTGCACCCAGATAGCGGCAATATGTTCGAGAATGGTTGTTTCTTACGAAGGCAGAAGCGATTTAAGGATGAGAAGAAAGAGTCAATAAGACAAGCACAGAAAGCGCACACTGGGCACGGACACCACGGAGGGTCGCATGAGAAGCGCGGCGACCACTCACACGAGAAGGGAGGTGTCGGAGGTGGCGCGCCGCCGGGCGGAGAGGACAAAGAGATGCGCGACGAGCTGCTGGCGCAGCTGCACGCGGCGCCTGAGCTGTGCCTGCCTGAGCACACGCCGCTGGCGCTGGAGCACTACGCGCAGCTGAAGCAGGAGCCCACGGGGTACGCGCCCGCCCAGCACCCATTCAGCATCACTCGGCTACTGCCTGGAGCCGACACGAAGGCAGACCTGAAGATGTACGACGTGAACTATGGGTACGGGCACTCGCCGGCTGACAACTACTACCAGTCGCCGCTGTACCACCACCACCACGCGCACGCGCAGCCGCCCTTGTGACAGTACCCGCTGGCGTAGGCGGGCCGGCGCGCGCCCTCGTGGTGCCTGCCGCAGCCGCCCGCGCCCTAGCTGGCCCGCCACGCCACACCCTGGATGGCTAATCTCATCTCCTGATATTGGACTCTGAGTGAGCGATTCGTGTTCTGGTGATATTACCGCGCCCGCAGCGCTCCCCCCGACCTGACTATTGTATATTGTGTAAATATTTGCGATTATTTTAAATGAGTCCATTTTGTGTGCGTTTTATTAGTAGGTATAGATGTTTAGTGCACGGTGGACGATGTGAGACGAGTCGGGGCGGGCGGCGGCCGCGCGAAGTTAGGCCTAAAATGTTTTGTGGAACTTCTGAGAAAGTGTCCTTTATAGTCATTACAATCGGTTGCCCCTTGTATGCCAACTCTTAGTTGATCGGTTTTGTATGAAATTGATGTAAAGTTAAGTGGGAGCTTTGCCCGCCTAAGTCAGCGTACTCTAGTTAGATAAAACTGTGAGCGTATCGCGATCAATACGTTATCGCTTTGTTTATCGATTGTTGTTTAGATAAATTGTTTGCGTAGCGCGTTGATGTCTTTTACTTAACTAAATTATTTGATTGATTTGATTAGTGCGTAAAACAAACTGATAATTTGAATATCGGAAAAATTATCAAGTGTCAAGAGTAAACGAGTTACAATCACAACGCAGTGCCCCAAGAAGTAGAAGTCTGACGATGATAATGATTATAAAATGACGAAACCAGCTTCATTGTTAAGTAATACAAATCAAAGAATCATTATGACATCGATATTAAAAATATTGATTTAAAAAAAAGCAAACAAAAACAACGTTGGGTTCAGACGCTTCACAAAAACTTGGAACAACAATCAAAATGTAAAAAAAGCAATCGCTAAGAGTTGGTGTGCGACGGAACGAGAAGTGACGTCATATCGTGGACGGTTCAACTGTGCAATGTCTGTGTAACAAATTGTGTATAAAATTTAAAAATATATATATAAATATATCATATACAAGATGGAAGAGGCAAAGTGTTCTAAATTTAAAATTTGGTTTAAAAATTAAAGTCGAAAACTGATTGAAAATTATTAATTATTAACTTAAACTTTTAAATAAATTATCAGAATATGTGCTTTAAGACAAACAATTAAAGTTTAATTAAGAACACAGTTACAATCCCTGAAGGTTTCTCATACCGAAAAACCACATCTAAATTCAAAACACCCTGTCTCTACCACCCTGTATAATATTAGCTAGGCGAAATGGAATCTGAGTTTGTCATGAACCATCGCGTTAGGAGTGTAGATATATAAGTTTTGTATATATAATATATAAGTTAATTATAAAACTTAAAATAACGGTGTTTGGTGTATAATGGGTACCTATCTTGGCTTCTGCACATTCCAATTGAATATATATTTATATGCAAGTGTCAATTTAGCATAAGACATCGAGTATTTGGCAAGCGTATGAGGTGAGTTCTATTTTATTATATAATTTCATTTATTTATAAATTGATTTTACATTTCAAATGAATTTTTAAATTTCATTTATTGTCGATTTGAATGATTTTTTTTCTCAGTTCCGGGGTTACAGGGTTGAGTAGTTTAATTTTTTTTTTAGTTTTTTGTAAATGAATTTACCGATACAATTTATACAAAAGGTTCCATTATAAAAATTTTCTTTCTAATAACACATTTAACATAAATATAGTAAATGTTAACTGTTATTTATGTAATAACATAAATATTTATTTTATCGTAAACGAAGTTGACCCAGAAAATAATCCTCATTATTAACACTTAAAGTGACAAGGATTTTGTCAATAGAACTGAAGTATTCAGAGGCTGCCAAAATTGACATTACCGTGTTTACCTTGGCCATACCTATTTAGATGAACCACCTTGAAAATAACCTTTACTTACATATCGAGGTCTTGCGCTCTATGTGTGGTTTATTAGTATTGGTACCTACAATTTAAATAGCCTTACTATTTATTCAATGTCTTGTGTATTCACTGTACTTAGAATTCATTTGTGTTTCATTTTAAATGCGCATTTACGCACATTTCATTTTAAATGTATTTTTAAATTTCATAAAATGTAAGTAACTCGTAAAATTAATTGTCGTTGGATTTTTTGATCCACGATAAATAAATAACATCTAATGTTTTTTGAAATATCTTATCGATAAAACAATGAAAAAGGGAAATTTTTATTATCCCTCTGAAACATAAAACCTGTATAAATAATTGTTCAATAATATTATTATATAAAATAAATAGATAATAACTAAACAAACTTTAAAAGGAATGGCACAGAAGTTATATCATAAAATTTATTTTTATTAATTTTCTAATTTTTATTTATTTCTAACAACAATACATTTTTTTTGTATAAATAATAAATAAATAATCAACATTTATTCGAATTATGTTTTATATTAATTTTGATTGCTTTGCTCAATTTAAGTTTATATTAGTTAGGTCTATAAATAATACAATTAAATGTAACCTCAGACGCTTACCAAAAGCTATAGTTTTTTTAGCACTATTTTGATAAATGTGCTAAATTCATTCTTGTAGGTATAAATAAATATTTATGTCGTACTCCTCGAATCTAGATAGGATACTTATATATCATCTGTTAGTTTCAGAATTAATAAAATTAAGTATTTACAAATTATATTTGTTTTCCTTTATTTCATTTAGTGTATAAGGTGTATTTTCCCTTAAGTGCTGTCAAATTAAACACACGAAATAATATCAAATCCATTGTTGAAAATCAATCATATATACTGGTACATAAGTATAAACTCATAAAATTTTTGTCACAGCGGCTTATTATTTCGGCATAATTTCAATGCAATAAAGATATAAGAGAGTGCATTCACTGCATTGACGTGACAATACGGTGGTTAATATTTGCAGCGTAACTATCAACCTTCCTGTACATTACTATAGAAGTCATTTGTTTTTTTCGGCTTGTTTCATAATGAAATTCATTACACAAATGCGTGCGATTAGTCACTTACAAAAAGTTTTAGTAAGCCTATCGTGAGGGATACTAGGTTACAGTAACGTTCACAAAAACTTGACGATATTAAATACAGTGCAAGTTAATACTTATACAATAAATACTTTATACCGATCTAACGCACAAATATATTTGACTAACACGAGTTTTTATGTTGAAATAAATATTCAATACATAACTTAAATTTTAATTTTAATCAAAAAAATAAGTAAATTTATTTAAACAATGTAACAATGAATTTATTTTTGTAAATTGGCCATAAAACATCACTTTTACACGTCAAACTATATGTAAAAACACTAGATGAAGCCGGCATTTCCTATGTGACTACTCTGAGAAGAAATGCCGAAACAGACTCAGAGGTCCGTCTCTATTTATTTTATAACTGATTTGATATCAATGAATCTCTATCTAATATAACGTAGGTAAACCATTTAATTAAAAATACACTTTAACTACTACGATATACAGTCTGATTTCCATGTTTAAAAAACAGGATACAAAAAAATGCTACATAATTACATAATTATTATTACCTCAACCCTTTCGTTACGAACAAAGGTGTCGCCAGCAATAATAATCAAAAAAAAAAAACGAAAAATCAGTACTTATCGTTTGACTTTTACCGTCGGTTATTTTCACTTTTGTCGGCTTGCGCAAGAGTCGCTTAGCCTTCAACGGGTTATCTTGCGAACGACAAAAAGCTACAATAAAACCATAAAAGTACACAAAAGGGTTCGACACGTGGATAGCCAGTGTTAATTTGTTTAAGAAATCGGCAAAAATTTGTTGAAAAGAAATACAACGTTTTCTTATAAACTTTTTCGTGTGTGAAACAAAGTTATGCGAAACTTAGTGGGTACAATGTGTTTTGATTGTTAGTTTATATTTAAATGGCTTTTGATTCTATTTCATCTGTCTGTCTGTCTGTCTGTTTGTTTTAATGCACTGAACATTAGTATAATTGTTAATTACAACGCAGCAACGTGACGTTTTAACTGTAGCAAGGATTTAAAAAGGCGTCTTTCAGTTTTTCAGTAATATAAATTTCTGATTATTTGTGTAACATTTTGCTAAACACATTTGATAAAGATTTCTAATCTTGTATTACAATCAGTGACAATAAAATTAATGTTTAAAAATATTTGTACAAAATTGATCAAAATTGATTCAGTAGTTTAGGAGAAAAAGTGACGCATTTGCTTTTGCATTTTGACATTAACACCCTTTTCTAAAATAACTTTTTCTTTTGTTTTCTTTTCTCATTCATTGTACAATAATCACAAATTTCATACATAATTAGTGGATCCATTCATGCTGTATAACTATTTAGCGGCGAGAATCGAACATGGGACGCTGCGGGTGGTATACTGCCGTCATAAAACTAACCACATCTCAGCTGACCTAGTGAGTGGACAGAATGAATGGCTTGTGTCCATTGTAGTACGAGAAAAGATTGTAAAGACTTTTTTTCCGAAGAGTTTTTTTTTTGAAAAATATTTGTACAATGAAAAGTGGAAGTCAGGTTTTTTGCTAAAAGTTAATTTTAATATGTACTGTCTTTGATGTTTTGGGTCATTTCTGTTTTTTTTTTTGTTTTTTTTTTTTATGAAATGATGACTGGCGCTAGCGTATGAGCTGCTTTCAATATTTTTTTATCTACCGACGAAATGTTAATTAATATAAAACTGGATTCATCGGTCGACTCGGTTTTCAGTAAAACTCGATTTCTATAAGCGATTTCTTTAGGACTAGCTGCCGTAGGTACTGAAGCGAAATTATACTTTTTCAACCAGAACTTTTCTAGAATTCAATATCACTAAATAATATAAAACAAAGTCGCTTTTTCTGTCCCTAAATCTATATGTATGCTAAAATCTTGAAAACTACGCAACAGATTTTGATGCAGTTATTTTAATAGATAGAATGATTGAAGTGGAAGGTTTATGTATGTATAATAACATCCATTAA